TTCTCTGGGCCCCTGGTTTGCTGTAAAAGTAAAGGCTGGGGTCATCGAATGTAATAGCTATTCTTTATGGTTGTGGGAAGCAGTCAGCTATAATTAGGACAGAGCTCAGTCCTTCTTTTTGTGTGCTCTCTCAAATAGTTTTTATTTTTTATTTGGTTAGAGAGTGTTTTCTGGGGAAAACGGGCTTTCTGGATTGGGTTCCAGCTCACCACACCTCTGTATGGAACTAAGTGGTTATGGATTAGGCATAATTTGTCAAATGTTACAAAATAAATTAATAGTCTAATAGAAAGTTATAACAAAAAAAGGTATACAGTATATACAGAAATGTCCAGATTGATTTTGAGCTTCTTGTTGAATCTATTAACACAAAATGTTGGCATGATTAATTATGCTGCATGTCCCATTATACACTAACATGTTAAATTTATTTATACTTTTTTAATGTTCCCGTTAATTTGCAAGATAGGCCAAAGGCCTTTCTTATTTTCACCTATCTAGTTTGATCTGTTTTGTTGCCATATTCATTTGGGTGCACCTGGAGGAAGACAGGAATCTGTTTTTTTTTCACATCTTTCTCACTTTTGAATTTCTGTTCCCTCTTTCCTCTCTGCTCTCTTCCATTCACCCTCTTCCTCTCAGCCCTCTTTTTCTTTTATTTCTGTCTCATCTCATTATCTTTCCCACCTCTCTAGTACTACTCCAGCCCCACACACTATAATACCCTCTTCCTACAGTACCTCTCTTCTGGATTTCATCCCAATGTCCTTTTCACTTGCTCTCAAAGTCAAATTTAACAAGCTCTGGACTGCAAAGACAATGAAAGTCCTGCCATAATTCAGCAGTAATACAGTGCAGAGACCAGCATTACCAGTCCGTATCCTTTACAGTAGGTTTACAGATAAGCATGTTGCCCGTTTCTCCTCTACTTTATGACAAAGTACAGTAATTGATTTTCAATTGTAATTATATTATCAGAGGCATTAAAATCTCAGCATATTATATTGGCAATACTCATCTGTTACTTTTTTAAATGCCTCTCTGTATATAATTAGTTTTGGCATGTGGCAGTTAGTTTCAAACAAATGTTGACACTTAGTTATAAACTAACTGTGTGCTGATATGTTTTCATTGATAAACATAGTTTTTAATAATGAGAAAATTGGAAAAATAGTAATACTTTATAGTTTATTTGTACTGTACCTAGCTTACATTTTAAATGCCCGTGCAGCACTCCATCTTTTGGATTGGTACAATAAAATGTATCAAGACATAGAGTATAACAGGAGCACTAACAATGGCTCTAGTACCTACAGTTCACTGCTAGTGTAATCCCCTCATGTGCTCCATAAAACTTAAACACACATGCAAGTTTACAAATAAGAGGTATCCTTTAACCACATGTTGGGTTTATGGATTCCTGTAGATTAAAAGCTTGTTTCTCTTTCTTCAAAGATCCCATAGAGTCGGCCTCAACCACATGACTTGGGATGTGGTTTCAGATTCCCACAGTCCTCTGTGGTATTTTTTTATTTGTGTTACAGTTCAGAGCAACTAAAGAAGTATTTCCTGATATCTCTCTTGAATAACTCTAAATTTGGGATTTTAAGTTGCTAATATTAGGAAGTTCCCCTGAGTTAACTTGGCCAGTGCATTTCAGGATTTTGAATAATCAAAATTTAATTTTGAATTGAAACTTAATCAAGTCCCCACATAATCTTCTGTTTTCAGATAAAAAATAATCTGTACTGAGTACAATATACACAAGCATTTCGTTTAATTGCTTCCTTGCAATGACCCCTTTACCAGGGGTCCACTTAGTCCTGGATTTTACTTTTTACTTGTGCTGTTGTCACACTATTTAACAAGTTTATATATACTGTACAGTAGATCATTGTTGTAAGTTAGGAAAAGCAATGATCCTAGAACTGATCCCTGTGGTACTCCAAAACTTACCTGCTGCTAGTTTGTGATACATTTTTATATGTTTTAGTTGATGCATTATGTACATACATTGCCATGTATTCTTCCTGCTATAAACTACTGTAGAAGGTTAGACAATTATGTGTTACTTTATAAATGCTTTTTGAACACCCAAATATGTTTGCCATGTGTCCAAATGTTGTCTATTACACTAGTTACTTGCTCAAAGAAATCTAGTTTGTTTTTGTAAATAATCTAAAGATTTGATCCCAAAAATAAAACCAAGTTGTATTATACACATAAGTTAAGTTTAACCTTATTTTTATACCAATATTCTTTGTTGTCATGCCATTTTGTACATGTATGGTGAAGAATCACCAGGTCTTTAGATTGCAATGCTCAGGTTCTTCTTCCAGGAAAAACCACACCTACTGTTTTATAAAGGTAGCAACCTCTGTTGTGCTAAAGATGTGTCAGAATCCTAGTGGGGTGACTCTGAATGCATGTGTAACATCACCCCAAAAGCGATGGAGACGGAGACGGAGAGAGAGGGAGGGAACTGCCTGGCTGGGGCAGGGTGCTTTAGACAGACTCTAGGAAAATGACTCAGATTCTAATCAATAGAATCTCTCTCTTGTCTCTCTCTCTTTCACATATATCACAATGGTTGCCCTGCCAAGACAAAGAGAGAGGGCACCTGCCCTTTAATCTTCAATTCTCACATCCTGTATGTCTCTCTGTCTGTCTGGTGTTCTTTGGGAACAGACTCCACCATTCAAGTGCAATTTAATTCTGCTAAAATAAGGGACTTACCCACTGTCTCACTTCTAATATTTTTAATTAACCTTTTCTATTTTTTTTTCTGTTCTAAAAGCCCATGTATATTTATGTTATAAAAAATGTTTTTGGTGCACAATGAGTAATGTCAGTATTGACAAGACTGACAGTGATTCAGTAGAGAGCTTGGTGGGAGTGTTGTTAACTGACTATAAGGCTGTGTTTGCAGTGTGCGCTATTTACTATGGCTCCTTACCCATGATCAGAACCGACATTTGTAGTCTTTTTACTTTGTCTCACACACACATGTATTCCTTTTATATCTAGCACCTCTCTAGTCCTTTTCTCTTTCTCTTATCCACTTTCTCTTCACCCATCTGCTCTCTCCCACTCCCTTTTTCCTTCCACCCTTGTCTTCCTCCTTGTCCAGTTTTAGTTTTAATGCTACGCAGTACAGATTCAGGGGTGCATGTGCAGTGTGGATTCAGGGCTTCATCAGTGTAGTGGATAGCGGGTCTCTCCACCACAATCGCCTTATTGCTCTTTGTACTTAACATCTCACGCTGACAGCATTAAGTTACCCCCTCCCCCAGCACACACAGAAATTCTCTGTTAGCTACTGCAAAGGCATGTGAATGTACGACCTGAAACTGATATTGCCAGAGACATTTGAGGTTGGCTAAGTACTGTACATGGGGACATTTACAAATTTACTTTGTGTGTTTTCCTAGTAGCTTGGCGATCCAGGAATGTTGTCAAGTCCCTCCTTGAAGGAGATTAGAACAGTAAATCGGCAAGAAAAACACAGGTAGTTTGTTCTTGACAACTTTGGCTTTTATTGTTAAGTGATGCCTTCTGCTTTCATTCTTACATTTAGTTTCCTCTTGTGTCTATACATCCTTGTTTTTTTTCATCGTTTTTCATCCTTGCCTTGTGCTCTCAGTTTTAAATTGACCTTCCCATAGTTTACATTATGTGGAAATAATATAAACTATGGGATACAGTGGTGTTTTGGGTTGACTTTGTCTGTTTCTTTGAGAATTGTGAATACCTAAATCATGTTTCTTCATAGTCTAACCTGTTCAGGAATAAAACAATCTTAGTTTGTTTCACCTATCCGTTTACGATCTGGATCTGGTCCCTCTTCTGAAGATTGATTCTAGAGCAGCCATATCTTTTTAGTATGGTGTTGACCAAAGTTGTATAGAGTATTCTAACCCATATCTTTCTCGTTCATAATCTGTTTGATGTCATAGCTTTACTCTTTTGTTCTTTAAAACTAACCTACAGTATATGCTGAAAGAAAATGTAGAAGTAAATGAATTACAAATGTATTTTCCAGGGACATTGTACTACATACTAGAGAGATTGTACATAGGCTATAAAGTAGCTTGAATTTTTGTAACTGTCAGCACATCAGAATTGAAATATAATATACAAATGTCTGATATTAACGTGTTTTTGCTGCCTTTTGTTCGGGGCTGTGTTTTTTTAACAAACTCTTAAGAGAAAACAAAGGAAGAAGTTCTGTGCGAAACAGTTGGCCCTGAAATTAAAGGAAATATTTTCAAAATTCATTGAGAACTTTTCAGAAGATGAGAAAAAATATAAATCATAGGAAATGCATTAAAACATGCGTTTTGGATTTGATCATCAGACTGCACTTTGACATTTTTTCACAAAAAATGATATATCAACATTATTATTTTAAGGCTGGAGTTGGAACATTAGAAGTCATATTAAATTAAAGCATGTCCCAGAGACAAACGGACACCACCTATACACCTTTTGAATGAAACAGGGAATCTTTTTTCTATCCATGTGCTGATTTTTCACTGGGCTGTAAGAAATTTTGGTGAGGTTAATGTCTCTCCATTTTCGCAGCGTCACCAGCAGCCTTGCTGCTTAAATACAGTAATGAACTGATTACGCTTTGTTTTTTGGCTGTTTTGTGTATAACAGTACAAATCAATATTCAGATTGAAAAGTTTGACATAGTGGCTTCATATACGTTTTATCCACCATTAATGCTTATTAAGTAATGGAGCAGGTAGTCACATGACTTTCCCCACAGTGTACATTAGTTGAAAATGTCTATGATGTAACAGTTTTTCCACATTTTCTTTTCAAAAACTGTCAGGAGCAAGGATGTCTAAAAATGTAGATTTCACATCACTTGCTACAAAGAATGTAATTTTATGCATTTTTCTGTGAACATATAGACTACTGTACTCTTCCTAGGCTCAAATGTTTTGTGAGTAATAACCATTAATTCCCCCATTTCTCTCTGTGTCTCTCAGGTCCCCATTGAAGTCCGGAAACTCAGCCCTGCTCCTAATTCTCCATACAACAGGGCTTGTAAGATACCCATTTATAAAACTCAGGTTTCCTGGATATAACCCTCCCATCCTCACTCTGCAAGGTGTGGCCCTTGCTCCCTTCAAACTTTGTCAGTTGTGATACCTATATAAGCACTCTTCTCACCCCTGACTATAAAAAACAACCTGGATCTCCCCTTCACTTTCCCCTCCCTGTCTGCCCCCACCCTCCACCCTCTCCTCTCCAAGTGACAATTTCCACAAAGTCATTTGAATGGGGGTCACACAACTTGGGTGCCCTGCTCCTCCTGGCCTCTGATCATATGTTCCTACACATTTTGACATGCCTTTTTTAAAGACTCTCTCTGATTGGATGTGAATAGAAAACCCTCTTTTTGGTGTCAGATCATACACTTTTAATGACTGACCCATCCCATAAGACTGTATAAGAAGACCTGTAATAGGTCCCACAAGGCGTACCCTGCAGGAGCTCTGATCAGTACCTGCCCTTGCTCTTCTTACAGTTTCCCTAAAAACTTGTCACCGTCACCTAAACCCAGCCCTTCCTTCAGTCCGGTTGGCCGTTGCCATGGCAGCCTCGGCACGGGAGCACCTGCTGTTCGTGCGGCGGCGCAGCCCCCAGATGCGTTACACTCTGAGCCCCGAGAATCTGCAGAGCTTGGCCGAGCAGAGCTCTGGGCCGCCCGAGCCAATGGGTCTCCAGCGTGCCAACAGTGACACCAACTTGGTGACCTCGGACAGCCGCTCGTCGCTCACTGCTAGCACGTACGAGTTCACGCTGGGGCTTGCGCAGAACCTCATCATCTCCTGGGACATCAAAGAGGAGGTGGATGCCACTGACTGGATTGGGCTGTACCATATTGGTGAGTTATGCCAGGCCACTGTACGTATCTCACCCTCTCCTGTTTATTTAGTTAACATTACCATGATCTTCAGCTACTGTTATAAGGCCGTAGCTATACATTGATATACACTGATGTACACCAAGGATTAAAGAGAAATCTGTTCAAGGTAGATCTGGCAATTCTGTGAACCAGAGCAGACAGACTCTTTACATTAAGGATTGCATTGTCTTCTCAGTTTATTTGTCTTTCTCAGACAAAAGGCAATGCAATTCTTGTATGTCTTGCTCAGTTCTTGTATGCTGAGTTACACGTTCTCATTATCCGATGCATTTAATCATCTGTGTAACTGTGTTTGAATAAGGTACATTTTTATAAGTTTAACTGTAAAGGGCCTTCCTTGAAAAAAATATTAAATCTGTCAAACTGACAAGATCAAGAAAGTAGTTCATTAAGGAACTGAGAGCTTAAGTGGGAATGGACCACTCTTTAGATCCCCTCGCTGAAATGGGACAGGCTGGTGTCTTGTCAGTCTGGGCTGCAGAGCATTGGTGCTGATTCAGCAGAGTGTGCGTGTGGTGCAGACACCAGGAGCCCGCTATTGGACAGGCAGTCAGGCAGCACCTCACACTCCCCCACAGAGCATCTCCAGCATGCTGAAGCATAGGCCCCTGTCTCTCTTCCCATCACACACACACACCTGTACAGTATACATTCACATACATCGAGGGGTTCTAACAGTTCTGTGTTGGTATTTATTGTTGCCTTCAGCTTTTGTTTCAGTGCCCCTCTACAGAAAGCAAAGTAGTCTGCCATCTGTAAAATACTGCTAAAAAGTGTGCCCAGATAGTGGAAAATAGGAAAATCATCCATCCTGACACCACTATTACAACCTCCTTCTGCCATCACTCTGGCACCTGCCTCACCACAATTTATCAGTCTGTATATTGATCCATCTCATCTTACACAGGAAATAAAAAATTAGAGAGATGTTTAAGAGGTATTGTAGTGGCTTCATGGGCACAGTGCCCAGCACAATGGATTTTAAAGACAATAATGACTTCATTATCTGCACCAAGAATAAATTCGACAGGAACTGTGTAGTTTGACTTGTAACTGGGCACTGTCCCAGTACCAGTGGTCTTGGGAGTACTGAGACACAGTAACCCCAGGTTATTGTAAAACAGTGTCGTTAACTTATTAAAGACTAGTGGGTCACTTATTAACTGAATATTGAAAACAAATACTGCACAAAACAGTTTATGAATGAAGTTTTCAAGCCAAAGTACTGTTTAGGTAGACTGGACTCCAGGATCAGTCAAAAATAACTGCATGAGTCGGCAAGCCTATTTTTCATGGTTGAATGAACTCAAAAATCTGTAGAAAACATGTTGGGCTTTTTTGAAAGTTTTCGATCAATGTCTTTTTCTCTCTTATTCCACACCCTCTAACATTCTGTTCCAGTTAACACTTTATGCATGCATGTCTTGCCAGCAGAGGATGATTTGGAAAGAGCAAGGCAATCTTCACAGAAATGTCCAGCACGCTGCTTTTTAGGATTGCGTTATGCTAGACTCTATCATGAAACCCACAGAGAAGATCCCGTAAATAAATAGGACATTCCTGACGGTGGCCAGAACTCCATTGGGATTTATGCACATGTTTGGAGGGATCTTCTTTAAAGAAAAAGAGCAGTACTTTTTCCAGACGGTTCACCTTTCAGTTGGCCTCCACAGTGTCCTCACTGGCATCATGTTGACTACACACAGAAAATGTGATGTAAAAGCATTATCCAGCATAAGCTTTCTTCAAAGGCAGAACGACAAAGGTAACTGACAGTAGAAACTGAATAGCTTGTGGGCATTAGGCCCTGGAGGATCTTAATAATAATTCAGATAAATGGAAGTCCTGCAATGTACTGAATTGTGTTTTTCTATTGTCAGAAAAAGTATCGCTAAAACTGTTTCTGTGGATTTCCGTTACAGTCTTCCCAACAGTATACAGTATATCAAAAGCCTTATACATTGTGACTAAAATTGTTAGCAGCTGTTTCTGTGTTCAGATAAAGTTCAGTGAGTTTTGTGTCACTTAATTCATATGAGGTTTACACCCTTTTGCACAAGGTCTTAGGTTTACCTGTTACTTTGTTTGTTTGTTTGTTTTTTCACAGTGAATATATTACTGCCTTTCTGGCATGACTACTTATTATCCTGATTATCAGGTCACCTATCAACAAACAGAATGCAAGCATTTTTTATGCAAAGTAGTTATTTTAAAAGAGGGCCCTTACAGATTAAATTGTATTGGCATAGCAGACATGAAATGCATAGAAGCTGTTGTCGGTGTATATGCCAGAACCTGTATCAATAAACCCTGGAGTAGTTTTTGCAGCAGTAGTGGGAATCAGAGTTACATACTCAGCCATCCAGAGGAACAGAAAATCCATGTTGGGCACCTGGGCAGCAGGTGTGTGGCTCAGACTGCTGTCTGAAACAGTGCAGAACAGATGTATATGGACCTCACACCCGTATCCTTACCCTTTGTGCCTTTAGAGGTGTACCACTGTAAAGATACATGGCAGTGTTGTACTTTTTCATGTTTTCTACATGCTTCTGCTAATGATATGCCCTGGATTAGACTGTTTTATGTTCTACGTTAACATAAAACAATTAACACAATTAACACAATTAGATAGCTTTCACTCTGCTTTTAGAGTACCTTGCTATGATCTTCTGTGACAGTGCTGTGTCACACTATCATAAATGTGTGTAAGAGTAAGTGCAGATGCAATAATAATGAAAGGAAGGAACTGGAAAGCATTCCCAAAAGTGTGTTAGGCGGCAGAGTGTCATTGGACAAGTCATCGTGAGAAAGATGGTTGTCAAAACAATTACTATCTGTTACTCATTTCCTAAGATTATTCCTCATTTGCAGCTTCTGTAAAATGAGCCAGGGAATATGTTTTTACTACAGAAGTGCATTTGATTTTCTTTGATTTCTGCAATTTGGTCTGTGTTTCTTCTGTTTAAACCGGTTTTCCTGTCTCAAAATGTATACATTTTACATGAACATGTCTGAGTGCAGGTTACTTTTAAAGCAGCTTCACCTTTTTGATGTTTTTCTATTCCTATTCTATAGTCAAAACTTTTTGTTCTATTAACTACCTGAAATTTAGATGTTTGTAATCCCAGTCATTCCACAAAAATAGTGGACATCATCATAAAAAATACTATGATAATAAAATCAATTAGTACCATAATAAAACAATTTGAATTATTTATAATAATCAACTTTATTTTACATAGCCCTTTTAAAAGTGGCTTATCAAAGTGCTTTACAGTAAGAAAAAAAATACACAATGACAGAAGTTACAGAATTACGCAATTATAGTTAGGGTTTGGAATACAGTAGGAAAGCATAGAGGCAGACAGAACCAATCAATTACTCAATTATTTAATCAATTCATCAATTGCACTTTTTAATGCTAATAAAATGCTAGTGAGGAGCGTGTTAGTATGTCTGTGTTTTTTGGGGGGTTGGCGATTACATATTAAGGAAGACATTTACAAACATCCTGCCCCGGGGCGGAGAGGACAGGAAGTGCCATTTGCTGTTTGAAGTTTTAAAGAGGGACATGCTGAGCATAAGGAGAGAGGGAGAGAGACTCAGAGAGGAGAATCTAAGGCACAAAGGAGAGGAGAGAGAAAGACAGAGACAGGTTTGGAAGAGTATGAAGGAGAAGGGTAGGGTTTAGTTAGGTGAAAAGGAACCGATGAGCTTTAGCATTTATCGTCCTCTTGACCTCATTTCCTGTTAGGCTTTGTAGATTGTGAATTTTTAGATTGGAGTGAGAGGGAGGCTTCGGTGGCAGCGGAGAGGAGGAGGAGGAGGAGGAGGGATTGCCTGGTTCTGATAGGATACAGTTTGGCTGGGAGACAACATGAGAGTCTCCACCCCAGAAAGATAGAGACATGGAGGCAGTGTCTGTCTCAACGTCCAGGGTATTGTTGTTACATTATATGGCTGTATGTACAGTATGTGGGAATTTACTGTTGTGATTCCGATTGTGATGAAAGGCACTTTTTTATCATAATCTGTCATAAATGTGAAGATCTTGGACTGCATGCGTCTGTGTATCTTGTTGTACTGATGTGTCACTTCCTCCATATCTGTCCCTCTCCTGCTCCACTCTCTCCAGATGAGACATGTCCAGCCAACGTGTGGGACTCGAAGAACCGTGGGGTGAACGGCACGCAGAAAGGGCAAATCGTTTGGCGCTTGGAGCCAGGGCCCTATTTCATGGAACGTGAGTGGGAAATAAATTATTATACCGCAGCAATGAAGTGAGAGATGAGAGGAGGACGGGAAGTATAAATAAAAGAAAGAAATGCATACAGAAGGATGTTTCTGGTTTTTTTTATGGATCCAGTAGATTGACTTATGCTGGGAGAGAGGGAGATAGTAAAAAAAGGAAAAAGTTTGCTAGTCAGAGGAGAGTGCTAGAAACCACGCGTGGCTGGAAATAAGACTCACAGTTGCACTGCAGTTGTGAGTCCAAGTGTTATAAGCAGCTAGGTCTCACATAAGCCAGTGCCAAATTCTAGACATTTCAAGGTGGTCACATTTGTTTGAATAAAGATGTGGAATTATAATATTGAAAGCACTATACTGCTTTTTGGCTTCAACGGTAGAATTTGCACAAGAATCTGAAGTGGATCAAACTGTTACAGTATATGCTAAATGTCTTATTCCTGCATCTGCAGTTCTCTGTCTCCCCACCCTGCCTGCCTGTCTGGCATTGGTTCTGAGGGGACTGAATATACTGAGGGATTTTTTTAGACCAGATCTGATCATTTCGGTATCCAAAGAGATTGAAGTGATTGAAGGTGTACAGAGAACAGGGGAGTGATAAATATTCTGACTTGGATGGCGCAAACATGACACATTGAGAAAGGCCTGTGAATGATATTGTTATATACCTACTGTATAGGTACTCTATTTAACATAGTATTTTTCTTTTCTGTAACCCATGCCAGCGGCTGGTCAGTAATCTAATTTGTTTCTCCTGTCTCCATAGCGGAGACTAAGATCTGCTTCAAGTATTACCATGGAGTGAGTGGAGCACTACGGGCCACAACGCCTTGCATCACTGTCAAAAACCCCGGCATTCTGGTGAGTGAGCCCCTCCCACATCATCATACTCCTTACTTCGTAATCAGACTATTCTAAGGTTCTCTACTTAGGCATGCCTTAGGCCTGCTGTTGAAACAGCAGAGATTCCCTTTTGATCTTGACAATCTGAGTACTGTATCTCAGTATGGCAGCTTTTATGATCCTCTTCCTGAGTATATAATGGCACGGCCCAGCATGACACACTAAAAACATCTTGCACACAGCAAGCAATGCTTATATACAGCAAAGAAAAAAAACATTATTTCTGCATTGTCTGTACTGCCTTTATTTATCGTTTTTGTACAGCGTGACTGTGAGCTAGGCAAACACACCAGGGAAGGGGGTAATGCACTTGTCTCTGAGGTCCAGATGGTTTCCCAGTCCAGATATAAAAAGGAGACTTTTACTGCCTTTGCACTGACAAGGCAGTCTGGACTTTCCCTTAAGTCAGCATGTCAGTCAGTCCTCTCAGACAGCCATTGCATAGCAATTTTATGCATCTTAGGTTTTACAAATTGAATGCTCCCATCTAGCATCTGGGGTGTTTATTTTATTTATTTTGCAAACAGTCTAATTTTAAATAAATATGTATAGGTACAGTAGATGCGAGAGATGAAAAATTATGTTCAAATATTCTATGCTGCTTTTTACACAAGAGTCTCTAGATTTTTAAATTAGAAATATGACACTGTGCTAGTGAAAGGGAATCTCATATGATTCTCTGTACTGCTGCTCACAGGCTGTGCTGTTGGGGGCTTATGAACATTGACTTAATACAGGCCCAGTGGAGTGGAATTGTGCTGCAGACTTAAAGAGGTTATGGAGGATTCTTAGATCTCTGACAGATGCACTGTATGCACAGTACCATATTGAGTGGAGTAAGAAGCCCTGAACCAGCAAATCAACAACAGCCTAGATCACTGTAGATCGGCTATGCAGAGGGTTTTGTAAGCAAAGTGGAGAGAATTCTGCAGATGGAAGAGAAGGAGAGAAATAATGAGTGTAAGAGTAAGAGGGAGTGAGCGTGGAAGGACAGAGTGCCAGACAAGAGGGACAGAACAAGAAGGAAAAAGCTGCATATGAGAAAGATGCTGTTTGTCCAACTGAGACTATCGTCTCAGGACTGAGGTGTAAGCTTAATGTCGGAGGCCATGAAAAATTGAGACAGAAGGTGAGAGAGTGAGAATGAGAGTGAGACGGAAAAAAAACATAAAATAGATAAACTAGGAGCACTAATCAAATAAATGAAAAGTTCAATTGAAATTTCAGTTTGGGAAGTTAAGGTTTGGGAAGCTCTGAGACGAGCGAGAGGGTCCTGCAGGCAGTAGGGGTTCCTGCACCTTGTGATAACTTTTAAAACAATAAAGATTGATATTAGGAAAAACTGTCAGAGAAATTGGACTGATTTAGGGATTTGGCATTTTTAATTTGACCAGGAATTTGACTATTTTTAAAAACCTCAAGTAGTGTCTGATGGAATAGCTAATCAACAGGTCAAAGTTCCATAAACCGTTTGACCTAGTTTGGTATGACCATGTGGGCATGAGTCTATCAATCTAAATTTTGTTAAGGCCAGATATAAAGCATAATTAAGAGCTGCTATCTCATTGTAAGTCAGGCTTCATGTTATAAGGAAGCTGCTTGACTTGTGATGATTTCTAATCGTTTATTGATTGATCACAGAACCTCATAACCTTTTTTTTCTTAAATCCTTTACAGTTTTTTCTAGTCTCAATTGTTCTTTCTCTTGCTCCACATATTCATTTTCCTTAGTTCCTTATTTCTTTATTTTTTGGCAAGGTTCTTGTTCAGCCCAACATCTGGTATTCCTTCATGCTTTTGTATTACAGGCATTTCATAGTCTTTTCTTCAGAGTTTTTGGCCTCAGACACATTTTTGTCATTATGCCTGTCTTGATATTCCTCATTCTCTCAGTCTGCCTCAGTCCTACGGTATGTCTTTCACTTTCCTGTACTCTGTTCCTATTATTTGCTGCCTGGTTTTTCTGTGCCTTGGTGCCCGACTCTTTCTCATCCTCTCGCTCTCCTTCGCTCTCTCTGACCTGTTCTCCTTTCTCTCCTTTTCTCGCTTTCTCTGGAGATACCTATCCCCACCACAGTGACAATGCATTAGCTATCACTGCCTTGTTACTCTACTACCATCTGGCACAAATTAATTTGATATGAAAACTCTAAAATTAATCCTCAGATCAGAATCACTGGCTGCCTGCCGGGTGCAGGGGGGAGTTAAGCTTAGGCTTTCTCAATGTAGTGCAATTCAAAAGGGATTTATTACAGCCAGCTATGAGGAAACACTCATCACTTGTCACAGTATAGGACAGACATGCAAAAATGGCTAAGCCGTGAAAGAATGAGACTAGTAAACACTCCTCTGCCCCTGTCCTATACAGACAAAGCAGAGTCCTCAGAGACAGCTGATTCAATCTACAGTACCTTACTGTACGGTTCTCTGCTGTAGTCTACTACACTATGCCATATAGTACTACCTTGTAATGCGCTTCAATGAATTGCACTGAAGTGTACTTCACTGTATTGCTCTGTATTAGTACTGGATTTTGTAGTATGGTTCAGTCTATAACAAAATCGTAAGAAATAACGCTAAGGAAACTACATAGTACAAGCATGGAAATATCGCAAAACTACCATAGTCACACTGGAGAAATGTAATGTTACTGAACTTGTCAACAAGATCTGCTTTTACAATACGTTCTATTTTTAGGTATTACTTTGTGAAAACACTCAAATGCTTAGGAACAGCCCTTTTCCATTTTGCATTTTGGATTTCTTTTCACTTAAATGAGTTTGTTAAAGAGGGCAAGAGTGAGGTTTCACTACCGACCAGCTCTTGTTAATTCTTTTTTACATGTTTCATATCTGGATTTTTTTTTTTAATTCTAAAAGCTGCAGCCATTTACATTAAAAAATGGGAATTCATATTACCAGGCATAAAATATTAAGCCCTCAGCCCAGCATGGCATGTGTTTCAGGTCAGCCTCTCTCTTTCAGGTGGGAGCTGAAGGCCTGGCGGAGGGCGAGTCGGTAGCTGAGCACTGTCGAAAACTGGTCAGCTTTACTCTGTCAGGTAACATTTCTGTCTTTTATGTTCTGCACAGTGGAGTAAGTGTGAGAGAGAGGGATGGGACTTTCAGTGGAAATAAAGGACAGAGGTACAGAGAGAGGCACTGGGAGATTGGGTGTAAAGTCTGGTCTGTAATGTTAATTGCCATCTAGTTCATCCTGATTTTGTTGCAGGAGTTACATTCGAGGGGATGGGCGTAAGTGTACGTGTGTTGCAGTAGGTGCATCAGACGGTGTGCCTCATAAGAGACTGTGTACAGTGTATGTGCCATGCAGCGCACATCTTTCGTCTCTCCAGTCCCTCAATAATGCAAACTGTTAGTCACGCCTGTCTGCTCACATACACAGGCCCCTCCGAGTCTTATCTTCTGCTTTCTTTCTCAAGTGTGGGGCTGCTCTGTGGTGAAGCCACAAGGAAGCAGACTCCACAACCTGACACTGTAAAGTTACTTTTACATTAACTTGACACACAGGTAGTGAACATCCATCCATCTTCTAACTCTTTCTTTCAATTCAGGTTCTCGGTGAAGCCGATCCCATCAAGCAATGGGCATAAGGCAGGGTACACCCTGGATGGCACACCAGTCCACAGGGCAGGCAAACACAACCGCAGACATGCACAACCTCACACCAAGTTTCCCATAAGCCAGCCATAACCTACTGTTATGTGGGGGGGAAAGGACCATCTGGAGGAAACGCAAATAAATGAGTGGAAATCATACAGACTCTGCACAGGAAGCACCACAGGTCTGGACTTGAACCCAGTGCAATGCTAACCACTGCACCATCACGGTGTGCAATGTGCTGCCCAACAGTGAACATTGACAATGTGAAAACCACTGGCAATAAATAATGTAATGTTTCTTTATTAGCCCTATACAATTTCTTGCATTAGGAATTCGTCTTTTCACATACCCCAGCTTTTCTCCACGGAGACACAGACTGGGAGAGAAGCTTGCAGTCAGAGCGCAGGGTCTGCCATTGTATGACACCCCTGGAGCAGTTAGGGTTAAGGGCCTTGCTCAGGGGCCCAACGGAGTAGGATTCCTCTGCCGGCCGCGGGATTTGAACCGGCTACCTTCCAGTCATAGGCGCAGATCCTTAGCCACAGAGCCACTGCTCCACCGGGGGCTTCCATTCATGAAACATTAATAACACAACACTTCACAAAAAGCACATTTATATAAAATCTGTAATCGATACATTTAGTTTTTTAATATTTAACCAACAGAGCTCATTGTTTCATTTTTCTTTTCCTGTTGTGATGAGCAAGGTCGCCCCCCTGTGGTAGATGATATTCACTTCATTATGGTGTTGGCTGCTTTGCTCTTGTTTTGCAGATCACTTGTTCAGAGCAGTGTCAGGGTCATGGGAGGGTCATTCAAACAGGTCAGGACAAACCTGCATGGCAGGATATGGGGCGTCTTTGTTTCTTAAAGAAAAGAAAGGCTTTTTGGTTGTTTTGTAGATATATGAGTCTTTGCCCTCATCTCTGTGTAGATATCCGTGCTCTGGGCCTGAAGAAGGGCATGTTTTTTAACCCTGATCCCTATCTAAAGATGTCTATCCAACCTGGGAAGAAGAGTACTTTCCCAACCTTTGCCCACCATGGTCAAGAGAGAAGGTCTACCATCATTGCCAATACCACAAATCCCACCTGGCATGGAGAGGTATGTGCTGAAACACACAGATACACTGAGAAACAGTACCATACATTGACGCATACTACTGTTTTTGCTTTCCTCTCTTACTCTCACCCACCACTTCTGTCCCTCCCAAACTTCTATTTGTCTCTTCATCCATGACTCCCACTCCTTCTACTTATTCCTTGCCTACTGCCCCCCTTCTCCTATCTCTCTCTCTCTGCATCCTTCCCTGTTTTCTGTCTGTAGAGGTACACCTTTGTGGCCCTGGTGACTGATGTGCTAGAGATTGAGGTGAAGGACAAGTTCGCTAAGAGCCGGCCTATCATCAAGCGCTTCCTGGGCAAACTGATCATCCCCGTGCAGAGACTGCTGGAGCGCTATGCTGTGGGGTGAGCACCACTGCCAACAAGGGCCTGGAGTAAACAGGGCAGCGACAGTGCAGGGGTTACCCAGCTCAGTTTAGAGGAAGGGACATGGTTCTGGAAAATAAGATTGTTTTAATACGTAGAGTAAACAAGAATTGCAAAAAATAACTGTACAACAACCATTTTGGCATCTTTTCCTTTAGAAAAATCAAACAGGGGTCTCTAGCCAACAGCTTGTATATGCGGGCTGACAGATTTCTTTTAATGGGCCTGGTGGAAACCCAGTGCAGATCAGAACAACAGTGCACCTCTCTGGGCTTGGTTCAGCTCACAAGGAGCAGCTCACAGGCACGCTGGCTTCTGTCACGAAAGTATGTCCCATGGGATGTCCTGGTTTTGCCAGTCAATAGTAGTGCAGAAAGGTTGGGATCCTCACCCCAGGTCCTGTGGATCCACTGTGTTCCTAGTTCTCATTCCGAGAATACTACCTACTCAGGCCTACACTGAGAGGTTTTCCATTTTTCAGCTATTGGGCAATTCAATAAGTTATTGAATAAGAGAGTCTGAACAGGAGAGCAGTGGATAAGAAATTACTGTAGTAAATAACTGAGGAAATAGTCTGAGGCTACTTCAATCAGATCACAATAATACGGCAGATCACAGAATCAAGGTAAGCTATAACTATGGGAAAAAGTAGGAGACTGTCATGCATTTTATACACTATATTAAACAAGTGGTAGTGCTTGGGACAAAGACTTGCACAATTACTGAACTTAATGCCATATAATCTGTGGACCTCAGCGTGCCAGTGTGAGTGTCTGAACATGTGCATGTGCTTCTGTGCCCATTCAGTGATGACTATGTCTGTGTTACACAGGGACCAGACCCTGAGCTACACACTCTGCCGCCGATTGCCCACAGACCACGTCAGTGGTCAGCTGCAGTTCCGAGTCGAGATCACGTCCACAGGACATGAAGGTGGGCACTGTGTGTGGCTATATTCTCCAAACAGGACCAACTGAGAAGGAGATAATAGCAAAGACCTGTACTGCAAGTAAATTAGAACTTATAAGACCCCTGGTATCTACAATACATCAAAGTAATGTGCCTGTTCATACCGTTTAATTTATTTTAGGAAAATGATACAAAGAATTGGAATGAAAATAATTTAGATATAGAAAGGAAATGTACTGTTGTGCTGTTGTTCTTTAGTCTACATCAAGTATAAATAAGAACGTATCAGACTGCTGTGCCATGGGAATCTTAATTCCATCCCTGCAGATACGTTGGTTTAAAGTTACTAGAAGGAAACGTGTAATATATTGTGTGCTACACTTTGGTCTCCCCTCTTGCTGTATTGTCTTAGACGCCTCGCCAGACACAATGGGCTCTCTTCTGGGGGCTACTGCAGTGAATGGGGACCCAGGGAGCCCCTCTGATGATGAGGACCTGCCAGGTGGCCCTCACCCCCACTCCCAGCCTGTTCCAGGGACCACTAGGGAGCCCTCTCCCACCGGCTCGGAAGGCTCCGTGCCTGGCGAGGTCCTGCGCAATGGGGAGGGGCAGGAGGAGGACGAGACAACCAGGGAGGGCGTGGAGGGGGGCGCCGAAGGAGGATTTCAGCTGCGCTGCACCCACGCACTGCGGCAGGAGTCCCTCAACGACTACCTAGATGCAATCGAGGCCCCGAAAGGCCCAGGGGAGCGGCCTTTGGGTGCCGCATCGCCCAAACTACGCAGCAGCTTCCCGACGGACACGCGGCTCAGCGCCATGCTGCACATTGACTCCGACGAGGATGAGGAGGTGGGCCTGCGACCCGAACCAGGAGGAGAGACGGAGGGGGGTCTGCTGCTGCTGCTCAACGGGGGCCTGGAGGGGAAACCCCCCCGGACGGAAGGGGGCGAAGTGGAGGCGGTTCAACCGATAGAGGAGATAGAGGGGACAGCTGTGGCCGTTGCCCAGCTGCCTGAAGAAGGGGAGCCCCCCTCCCATAGCCCCCCAGGGCCTGATGTCCAAGAGGGGCCAGAGGAGCCAGAGCCAGGGGGGTCCAGCCAGGAGCAAGAGAGCGAGGTGACAGAGGGTGGCCCCAGCTCAGGCACGGGCACCACCCGTCAGTCATCCACAGGCTGTTCCTCCTTTGACAGCAGCCGATACCCCGCCTCCTCTTCACAGGTCAGTGGGCCTCCTGCGGGCAGAGAGGGGGCAGGGTGACAGCAGTGGGAGAATCTCCAAAGAAATCTCCAAAGAAATGAAGCCCTAGACACTACTGGGCGGGCTGATCCTGATTTTCTGAATGTATTTGTAAAAGGAAATCAACTAGAGAAATCTAACGAGAGACAGTGTAACCCCAATAATGAGGAGTCAAATGTTTTGACTTATAATTAGTTTTGGAAAATTGTTTGGAGCTTATGTGGTTTGCAGACTTTTCTCTTGGGTCTTCCTACAGATGTAGCGTAGTGCGATCAAGTGTTTGGCATATTTTATGACTGAGATAGAGAATGAACAAATTCCGATGTGGCTCCATGGCAGAGGTACATATATTTTGCTGAGGTATTTATACGTAGTGAGGTATCCAGCCTCTTTTGCACACTCTTTTCTTTTTTCTTACTCTCCTCCTCCACCTCCCAGCATTGTGGTCTGGCTCGTTTCTTTTCAGGAGGAGGAAGAGGGAGGGGCACCCTCCAGCGACCCAGGAGGAGGGGGGTCTTCGGAAGCTACACCCACCACCAGCGATGTTGCTGATGAAGGAGGAGGATCCGGTCAACCTGCTGTAGGAGGGGAGGATCCTCAGGGAGCGACAGCCGCCAATGGGGATGAAGAAGAGGAAGAGATCTGGAGGAGGAGGCAGAGTCTGCAAGCTGCTGGAGGTGAATCGCAGGAAGAGGACGTGAGGTCAGCTGGGGCCAGTGGCCCAGTGGACTCAGGTCAGAGTGCCACAGAGACTGACGGAGATGCAGGTGAGAGCAAAGTGGATTTGTGCATTTCTTGAACAAGTTGGCACTGCAGCTGATTCTTTCCACATTGAAAGGGAATCACTTATAATTTCACTGTGGCAAAGCATCGTCAAGCACTATAAAGGCACTTTTAGTATAGCAAAACCAGGGAAGGTCAACCTCTTTTATCTGGAAGATCCCCTTTCCAAGAATCACTCAGAAGAACAGAACCTATAATCAAAACAAAATATGTATTGGGAATTACTATCAGACAAGAGCTGTTTATATGACAAAAATGGAAATGAATGAAAAAACCTCTGGTTGAAAGTTAGCTCTGTAAGCAATCCATTAATGATGGAAAAGTGAGTACTGTGCAGGGATTGATTTCACAATTAGTTGTGGAGTGAAAAATGTTGCATTCTTTGTTGGGACCCCCTGGACAACTGTTTGAACTGCACTGATGCAGACAGTTAGAAACCAAGGCAAGGGAAAATGAATATGAAATAAAAATCACAGAGCTTCTGAGCATATTTCAACTGATTAACTTTCAAAATCAATCTTAGTGGATGTTTGAAACACTGTATCTATTGAGTATAGCAGTGATCTCCAAATCTGGCCATTGTGTGTCTACAGGTGTTTATGGTCTAGACTCATAATGACCCAAATAAGCACAATATTGACTTAATCTGACCAGTTTGAACGTTTCTCTCAGCTATTCAGGTATTCAGTACTTTTGCAGTTAATTTGACAATCCACAGAAATGAAGACAAGACTGATGCACACAGAATCTGGAAAAAATAGACAAATGGAAACAATTCTTATTGTGTGTCATTAACAAAAGCACATCTTTACAAAGATAAGATATTACAATGAAATATTACAAGCAGAACAAGGCAGAATATGAACATCTGGATATGTCTAGAAAACGTGAATCATAAAATGTCCTGTCTAGGAACAGTAACAAAAAATGAAAAGAAAATCATCCACACTAAACACAAATAGGTAACAGTGTCTTGGAAAAGTCCCAGAAAGGTAGTGGATATTGATTCTTGACTATACTGGTAGGCTGTAAACAAAACACCAGTTATACACTATTTTCACTAGATACTTCAGTGAAGCAAACTCAATGAACATTGCTCTGTCTATTCCCTGTTCTCGCTCCTCCTTCTGTTTTATTTGTCTTTTCTCTTTGCCGTTCTTCTTGACTCTTTTTCTCTCACCTGCAGCCTCCCAGGTCAATGGGCACCAGCCAATGCGTTCGCTGCCCTCAGTGCGTCAAGAAATCAGCCGCTACCAGCGAGTGGATGAGCCACTGCCACCCAGTGAGTCCAGATTTCTGGGGAAAAGAGGGGGAAGGGATCAAGGCCTTGCTGAGGAAAACCCCTGAAGTATTAAATCATGAGTATCTGTTTCTCAAGCAGGGTACTGACGTCTGTTTTCATTCTGTTTTGCCCAGCAGTCTTTGCAAAATGCCTTTAAACTCTAACAACACTTAAAGGGAAAACTGAGGGGAGATTTCACTGGAGGTGTTTATGCAACTGGCCACAGGGGCTTCAGAGTGTTGGGTTTGGGCAGGTGGTAGGCCAGAGGAGCTAATGGGTGTGAAGTAGGTGGTGGAGAATTGATGGAGCACAGTAGATCCAGTAACCCCGGTTAGTAAGTAAGTGAAGTAATATTGCTGCTCTGCTGTGTGTGTTGTGCGTCAGACTGGGAGGCCCGTATTGACAGCCACGGTCGGGTCTTCTATGTGGACCATGTGAACCGGACAACCACCTGGCAGCGGCCTACCGCCCCCCCTGCTCCCCAGGTCCTGCAGAGATCCAACTCCATCCAGCAGATGGAACAGCTGAACCGCAGGTAGGGCCAAGCACAGAAAGACAGATAGGGATCTCCTGCTGGGGGAACGAGAAGCCTTTGTATGTCCTTCTTTTTGCATGGGTGGCCTGTGGATGCAAACATGCAGTGCCTGGCTTTGAGCCCTGTCTGTCTATCTCTTTCTCTCCCATAGGTATCAGAGTATCCGGCGGACAATGACAAACGAGCGGCCCGAGGACCAGGCATCTGAGATCCCCCCTGAAGACGGCGACCTGCTGCACCACACTATCCCGGGTACAGACACAGCTGCCCTTCTCTAACCACAGCACAGCAGGGAGACAGGGCTGCAGTTTAAGGGATGCGGGATATTATAGGACCCAATAAAATCTTCTGGTTATTTTATGATTGTTGATTTACTTTGGGCAAATGTTACTTTTTACATAGATAAACATGAGGTTTATAATTATTTAATAACATATTGCTCTTTTGCTTTGTTAACACAAGCCTACAGCTTTTAAACCCTGACATGGATCAATGTCCTGTTTCTGGACCTTATTAGGATATTTTATCCTTTTCGGGTCATCTGTGTATATTGATATATTGTATATTGGTATTACCATACCCATGCAGGACAATGTAAAAATCATCAAATTTAGATTGTATGGAAATTCAGACCTTCAATGATCAAACAGTTGGGCGTTTCCAGCACTAAGCCCATTCAACATTTGACTTGTAAATCATTTTATCTTCTATATGGTTCTCGACAGCCACCCAGATTCATAGTTGCAAATTCCTGATCAACTCATTTTGGCTGCAGTCCTAGTATCCCTCGTCCTGGCTGGATACAAACTCATCCACCCCTGGCCGAGCTCAGCCTGCTGCGCGCGTCTGCTTGGGAATGTCCAGTCGGCATCAGCGGATGCCAGTAACAAAATCGGAGTCGGATGGGGATTGTAGAGCCCAAGCTGTGTTGTTATTTAATCACCCCAGGACCTTGTGTGCTCAGCTTCATGGATCAGAATTACAATTACGTTTTGTTGTTCGTTGAATATAGAGATGTTCTTGCATGTTTAGGCACTGTATCGTTGACAGTCATTGTTGTCTGGGACAGAATACCGGCGGGATGGCATGCTGCCCCCCTCCAGCACCCGCTCACGCCTCAGCCTCCTGCTCCAGTCGCCCAGCGCCAAGTTCCTGACCAGCCCCGACTTCTTCACCGTGCTGCATTCCAACCCTGTGAGCAACTGCTGGAGCGAACGGCTGAATGCATGCTGCCATATGTGCCGCACAAACGTACTGCACACGGTTACACATAGCAGTCACACATGTACAGCGCTGCAGTACTCACTCTGACGCACACGCACTGAGAATGGTGGTGTGGCTGTCATGCCTATTCACCTAACAAACTGCCTGTTGGGTAGACTCTGATCTTCAAGGCTCTTTAAAAATCATAATCTTCATAAGAGCGAGGAGCAGCTTAAACTTGTCCAGTTGAGCAAATAATGAGATCGATTAGGTCATTAAGTCTCAAGAGGAAGGATTTCCCTTTCTAAATATATTGGAACTAGGAAATGTAAAGCGGGCACTTCACCGTGCTTTAGTTTAGTTTAAGTTTTTCAGTTTTAGCTTGGTTGTGGAGTGTGCAGTGGTTAGAGGCAGGACAGCGGAGTTTAGTAATTTTCCTAACGTGAGTTTTTTCTCTTTCGAATAATTGCTATCAACTTAAGTGTGGCAGTAAATGCCTGGATTCGTTGTCGCTCTCTGCAGAGTGCCTATCGCATGTTCACGAGTAACTCCTGTCTGAAACACATGATCAGCAAAGTGCGGCGCGACGCCCACCACTTCGAGCGCTACCAGCACAACCGGGACCTGGTCGCCTTCCTCAACATGTTCGCCAACAAGCAGCTCGAGCTCCCGCGCGGCTGGGAGATGAAACATGACCACACAGGCAAGGTCAGGGAGAGTCCCACACTTTCTTTACCAGAAACACCTTCCTGTCTTCCCTTCTATTCTCCCAACTGGGCTCCCTACTTCCTTTCTGTGGTGCTAGTTCTTATTTTCTCCCTCAGTCCCCTGTCTGTATCATCCTATTTTTCTTGCAAATCATTCATCCCTCCTGTCTTTTGTCTGGCATTTTGTTGGCTCATTCCCTTACTCATTCCTTTTGTGTTTTCTTTTCTGTTTCTCACTAAACGTCTTCTTCTCCTCCACATTGCCATCTTACTGCTATTCTATCTCTCTCTTTTCCCTGCTGCCCAACACTCTGTGGGTGACAGTGAGGCACTCTGTATCCCTGCAGGAGCAGCAGAGAGGTGCTCTCAAGCTAACTGTTCCACCCCTCTCTTTGGCTGTTTCTTGTCCCCTTGTCTGTTACTCCAGCCATTCTTCGTGGATCACAACTGCCGCAGCACGACCTTCATCGACCCCCGCCTTCCGCTGCAGAGCGCGCGGCCCAGCAGCCTCCTGGCGCACCGCCAGCACCTGACCCGCCAGCGCAGCCACAGCGCCGGGGAGGTGAGCACCCGGCGCCTGGTGAGCACTGCGCCCGTACCTCCCCAAACTCCCGACCCCTTGGCCTCGGCAGCAGTCTGCACTGCAACACTTTCTGACATATTCTGTAGCAAACCACCCTGCTCTGTACTGCATCTGCTCAACCCCTGGCCACTGACTGACACACAAAATTTCCAGTCAGTTGACACTGATACAAACATTTTTAAAAACAAAACATTATTTCTATGAATGGAAATCAGTAAGGAGAGTCTTTCTTGTTTTGGATTCCAGCCTTGTGCTGGATGCTAGAAAGTTAGTGGACTAGACAACCTTGGGGACAGAAGTTCGAGTAGGTAGTGGGGTTAGCATGTGTAGGCTGCAAAGGAACAGATAAGGGTTTATTCCATGCTGAAAGGAAAAGAAAAGAGACTTCTTCACTCGTGAGCCTCACACCTGAAGAAGGCTCCACAGCTGAAACGTTGTGTCTCTTTTCTTTTCCTTTCAGCATGGAATAAACATTTACCTGTTCCGTTACAACCTTGTGCAGAGTCACTGGAAATCACATGATTAGCTAGCTGTACTGGGATGTGTGGAGTATGAGACATGCAGACAAGCAGACAGGGACGACTATATTTTCTTATTTTCTTCAGGTAACGGACAGCATGAGCCTCTAAATATCTTATTAATATCCCAGATATATGAACTGCTAACTGCTCTTTCACATTTCCACATTTATGAATCATTCACAATTTCAACCCAGAACACATTATTTGTGGAGAAACAATTCTGAAAATGGAGGTGCTAGTAAGTGTCCTGTGATGGACGATGGGAGGTATTAAGCTCGGCGGTTCTGTGCTGTTTTCCAGGTGGGTGATGATTCCCGGCACTCTGGCCCACCCGTTCTCCCTCGTCCCTCCAGCACCTTCAACACAGTTAGTCGCAGCCAGTACCAGGACATGGTGCCTGTCGGTGGGTATGACACCAGTTTGCCCTCACACACGGGCCCACTCACATTTTACCGCACTGACATGTGAGCAGATTCTGAGAGAAGCCTGCCCCACTGCCAACCCTACCACAACCAAATTTACCCCACAGTGGTGCTATCCTACTCTCTGCTGTTCCCCACTTTGCCACTCTGTACCACACATAGTGAGGTATGGGATTTAAAGTTAATTATGTAAAAAAAGACACTTTATCCTCCAGACCAGTAAGACTGAAAAATGCCTAGGCCTGTGTTTCCAGTGGGTGGGTGTGGTGTGTCTGTGTCTGACCCCTGGCTCTATTTTCCGTTGCAGCTTATAATGACAAGATTGTGGCATTTTTGCGGCAACCCAACATCTTCGAAATCCTGCAGGAAAGGCAGCCAGAGCTCATCAGGAACCACTCGCTCAGGTGACACCTTTTCCTTCATCTCGGTTTCTCTGTTTCACTCCTTGCCTCCATGCTTCTCCTTACCTTTCCTCTCTATCCCATCTCTCTTCTTCCATCTTCCTTCTCCTGCATCCCACTCTCTCGCTCTTCCACCCTCTCCACTCCCTTCCATTTCCTGCCTCTTCTCCCTTCCAGTGTGTGTGCGGACAGAGACAGCGCGAGCTTGTGTTTGTTCAGATAGACGGCGCGAGCGCGTCGGCTGTGCTTCTGTGTTCAGTGATACAGTGGCTGTGTCCGTCTCTTCAGGGAGAAGGTGCAGTTTATCCGCAGTGAGGGTGCCCCTGGCCTTGCCCGGCTTTCCAGTGATGCTGACCTTGTCATGTTGCTAAGGTTAGTCGGGGGAGTAGGGGTCACTGTGAGCTGAACAAAGGCTCATTGAGGTTGATTTGATCTTTCTAGAATCTACTCATGGCCTGCTGGAAGAAACAACGATCCTAAGAAACCATTAAAGGGTCAGAGATGTTTCTCTGGGGTCATGACAGAACTGTAATGAAACAGCCAAATAGACCTGTATGGAAAAGAAAATGTGAGGTTTCAGTCGTTACTTCTCTGTCTTATACGTCCTTTACTTTCTCAACACAGCTTGTTTGAAGAGGAAGTGATGTCATACGTACCACCCCATGCCTTACTGCACGCCAGCTATTGTCAGTCCCCACGGGGCTCGCCCGTCTCTTCCCCCCAGAACTCTCCAGGTGGGTCTTCCTGCACTCATTCACCTGAGGAGAGACCTTTTTACTGTATTTATATTGCTTCATTTTTTAATTCTATTCTTTGATTTTTTGCATTGCTTTTTGCTCTACAATTCCAATGAAAATAGTGTCTTACCCCCCTTTCCTGTCTCACTCACTCCCCCATGTTATTCAGCCTTTCCCTTATTGCTAACGTGGTACACTTTCCTTATCTACCCTCACTCGGTCTCAGTCAAGTTCCTACCCTTTACATTGTTTTTTCATGGATATGTTGGATGCAGTAAGTCTCAGGAAAGGGTCCCTTCCTATATTTAATATGCTAAATGATTCTTTGAGATGAAAGATGCTATATAAATGCAATTAATTATTTATTCATTGGTATAATTAAATCCTCCACCCTTTCAATCGCCTTTTCTTCACCAGATTTATTCACTTGCAGTCTGTTTCTATAGTCCCCGGGCCCAGCTGTGCCCAAACTGTAGTATTGTAATAGCAAGGTAAACAGATTTAGCTAAGGCAAAGAGGTGTCATGTCTCTCCCACTCTGCCTGTCTCTCTCAGATTCAATTGTGGAAGAGCTTTTATTGGCCTAACAAGATTAGTCATTTTGCCAAAGGAAATTGGCCCAGCACAAAACATATCTCTCTGCCTTTTAATATATTTGTCGCTCCTCGCCTCTCTCCTTCTATCTCCTCTTGCTGATCTGCAGCCTTGGCATGTCTCCTACTGTATATCAAATCCTCAGATTTCAGTAGCAGTTGTGTAAAATTCCTTTATACACCTCATATCATATTGACCGAACACACCTATGCACTGAGTACAGTATGTATATGTGGGGTCTCGATATCTGTAAATTTAACATTTGGGAATCTGCTTATTCACGATTTAGTCTGCGGAAGGGGTCTTGCGTGAACATGAAAGTTGAGCTGAAGGTTGCAATGCAAAAGACTAGGATCCTGAGACGAATTTAGCTAGTGAGAGAGCCTCTTGCTGCCTCCTGCCTAAGTTCTCACTGCCTAGTACACATCACAACATGGTCTTGTATTTATGTTGCAAGAAACGCCCCCGGTTCTGTGTTGGCAGCATGGGGAATGACAGGCTGGAGATGACTTTACAGGTTTTTTCTGACTGTTTTTGCCCATTTCATTCCAGTGAGGTACATTAATTTCAGAGGCAGAGAAAGTGCATGAGGGATGCAGAGGAGGCATTCATGTTTATTTTAACTGATTAGTACTATATGTTTGTGAATACTGTTGTTTCCTTTAGTTGATCGATGTTGTTTAAATTAACTTAAAGCCAATGAATAAGTACTTACTTTCTCTTATAAGTGTGGGCTACTTATATCTTTGGACCACATGTGCTATATTCTGTGCTACATTATACGACAGTGTAGGGGTGGACTTGATTATATGCGAATGTGCCTATTTCTGATGGTTCTCTGCAACCAACCCCTTATGAATAAGACTACTGTATGTGCACTGTAAATGTATACTGCATATAAAGGTGTAAGAAGTGTAGTTTGTCAGACGTAATTATGTGCGTTGATAGTCTATTGCTGATTGATGTCGATATATTAAATGCAAGCAAATATTTTTTCAGTACAAATGAATTAGATTATGATTTCCAATGTTTTTATAAGAATGATTTATAATATGAAGGTGTAATGTGTTGAATTTTTCTCCCTTCTTTCTCTGATGTCTTCCAGTTTTTATTGTGTTGAGAATGACCTCGTTTCACTATACTAATTAAAACAGAACAGCTCTGCCAAAACTCCCTGAGAGACAAAAGACTTCCCTTCTCCTGCTTACACTTCACTTTGTCAAGAACAAGAACTCACTCTTTAACCTTCTCTTTTTCCTCTCTCTGTGTTTTTTTTTTCTTCCTGCACGCCCACTTTGTCCTTCCTCCCTCCACCTCCTTCTCTTTATCTCTCAGGTACTCAGCGAGCAAATGCCCGAGCCCCTGCTCCTTACAAGCGGGACTTTGAGGCCAAACTGCGCAACTTCTACCGCAAGCTGGAGACCAAGGGCTATGGGCAGGGCCCAGGGAAACTGAAGTAAGTATGTGGGCAAGAGGACAGTGCCGTGACATAATTCATGTAGATATATTAAAGGCAAGGAAATATGAATGGTAGTGAAAAGATCTTGGTTTAGCATATCATATTACAGAGCACATTTATTGTGATTTAGCTCATCTTGTCTCCATGGTGGGGTCTGGCGTTCTTGCACCAGAGAGGAGTGCCACCACTGCCCCTTCTAGCAGCAACCTGACTTTCTAGCGATGAGTCCTGTGCAAGTGATGGTGTCTCTCTTTCCCTCTCTCCCTTACTCCACCACTTGCTCTCCCCCTCTCTCTGCCACAGGCTGATTATCCGCAGGGATCATCTCCTAGAAGACGCCTTTAACCAGATCATGGGCTACTCCCGCAAGGACCTGCAGAGGAACAAACTCTATGTAACCTTTGTAGGAGAGGAGGGGTAGGATGCACTCCTCTGCACTGATACACAGCTATCCACAGTGTATAACACTGAATAAACACACTTGCACTCTAAAGTACTGTTATTGAGGTGGACATATTCTGTCATTTTATAAACCTAGTAAGTCATTCACATGTACTTCTAATTTGGAGCCTTTCTAAAAGATTTTGAAGTTTACATTAAAAGAAGTAAAATATAGCCTTAAATACCAATATGTGAGTACTGTAACTATTAGCATCCGTTGCGTTTTTATTGTCTCTCTGTAAACTGTCTACTGTATATTGTAGCTGTAGGAAACCTTAGGCAATGTTTACTAGCTGTGGGATTATTCTATGCAGGAATAAACATATACATTACACTGTCACTTGTTTTCTGAAAGATGATTATATAGTTTGTGGAATTCAATAATGTCAAAAGACATTTCCAATTGGGAGTATCTAGAAAATTCTGTATGACAGAATATCAGAATAAATGTGTCAAAAACATGTTTCCAAAAAACTGCTGAAACTCCTTTGCTTGTATAAATGTACCAATAGATACATACTCTTGGATAACATGCAAAAACACTGCTGTACACACCCTGATATTCATACTGATATAATTGTCCTGACCTATGGCCTTTGACCTCTGATCTGCTATATGCATGTTTCAGGCTGGATTACAGTGGCCCATCGCGAGAGTTCTTTTTCCTTGTGTCCCGGGAGCTATTCAACCCCTACTACGGCCTGTTTGAATACTCTGCCAATGACACCTACACAGTGCAGATCAGCCCCATGTCTGCCTTCGTTGACAACCACCACGAGTGGTTAGTTTTCATCCACTGCGTATGTGTGTCCTCTGAATGAATGTACAGCAGCAGGGTGACTTTCAAGACTACTTGCCCCATATTTATGTTCCTTTCTCACTCATTAAATGTATCAGCTAATTTGATCGAATTATTTTTAAATAGAAAACCTGTGGTATTTCTTGCTACATCTGCCACTGTGTAGTTTTACATTTACGTTTTGGAAAATTGGAGGAACAACATTCGACCCTTGAACAAATTGTCTTCAATGTCAGCCTGTGAGTGTGTATGCTTGTGCACAATGAGAGTGTTTGCAGTGTGCTATGGTTGTGCTCCATGTCTATAAGTGTGCTGTGTGTTGTGTTTAGCTATACTGTGTATCAGTGTCTCAGTACTGTGTGACAAGTCTGTCTCCCTTTCAGGTTCCGGTTCAGTGGGCGTATTCTGGGCCTGGCCCTGATTCACCAGTACCTGCTGGATGCCTTCTTCACCCGACCCTTCTACAAGGGGCTTCTCAGGATGTAAGTACTGCCACTAGTGTTTTAACATTTATCACCTCCCCATGACAGTGTTGGCACTCACACAGTGGGGAACAGACCACACGTTTCTCAACAAAGGATCCTGTAATGAAATCCATGAAATATTAATTGAATCCAGAATTGCGGTTACGTACATTTACAGTAAGCCAAATCAGTTGCATTAATGAAAGCAATTCATTTAGTTTAAGTCGGTTCTGGCTAGTGCACCTGGTGAGGTGTAAGGGGTATGTCTTCGTTGACAACCACCATGATTGATCAGTTTTCATCCAATGTATATGTGTGCTCTCTGACTGAAATGGAAAGTATGTAAAGTGTATGTAAAACTTGTATGTAAAATATTGATTATATTGAGTCCTTTACCCTGCAAGCCTACAGTCTGGGATGTCCATTTTCTATTATTCAGGCACTGGAGGATATGCTTTTATTTCTGGATTGTATTTCTGTTCTAATCTGATTTTCTGATCTAGACTGTTCTTCTCCTCTGGATTGAAGCAGTTATTATTTTAACTGCTAATACAGCTTGGATACATACTTAACTGCTTGGATACATTATGACTGTATCCAAGCCTTTAGTCATGGAGGACTGGACGTTAAGTTGTCATGGAAGCCTGGAGGGCTGTGGCTCTCTAGGAGCAGTAGTAATGAGAGTGCTGTATATCAGAGAGAGTATAGCTGTGTTCATTGTCCTTTGTCATTTTTCATTGTCCCAGCCCATGTGACCTCAGTGACCTGGAATACCTTGATGAGGAGTTCCACCAGAGCCTGCAGTGGATGAAGGATAATGACATCAATGACATGTTGGATCTCACCTTCACCGTCAACGAGGAGGTCTTTGGGCAGGTCGGTCTCCCTCCAACTGGCACAGACAGACGGCAAAAAACGCGCCAACTAAAGGTTTACCAGGATGTATCGACTCCATGCATTTTGTGACATTGCAGTTGCAGTTTGTGCTGTTAGATGTTATAATAATTGAAGGCCAATAATCATTTTCAAGATCTCCCTTTTTTAAGGGTGGAGTTAATTGTTTCCTCTGTGTGTTTCCTCCCTGTGTGTTTCTGCACAGATCACAGAGCGAGAGCTGAAGCCGGGCGGCGCCAATATCCCTGTATCGGAGAAGAACAAGAAGGAGTACATTGAGCGCATGGTGAAGTGGCGTATCGAGAGGGGCGTGGTACAGCAGACTGAGAGCCTGGTCCGTGGCTTCTATGAGGTAGTATATTGCCTCCCGCTTTCAGTACACTGCCCACCCCCATAGATGTAATAATGTTTATGTTGATTAAGCCATAGACATAATATAACGGTTTGTCTCTGTCATTAATGAAGAGAGTGATACTTCTATAATACAAATAGTCAAAATGATGATGCCACTGTAACAATGGCGACAGTAACTGATACAGCAGCAATAGTACCAACTATATTATTACAGTAGGTAGCAGTACATGCTACTGTACATAGTAACAGTGATAGTGCCATATTAACAATGGAGGTACTATCAGTGCTTAAGCTTACCGTTGTGCTGTTGTTGTGTTGGTTGACGTGGTTGATGGTGGTGGTGTGGAGGCTATGGCATTAATGTGGTGATTGCAGGTGGTTGACGCCCGGCTGGTCTCTGTATTCGACGCTCGGGAGCTGGAGTTGGTGATCGCTGGCACTGCAGAGATCGACCTGAGCGACTGGAGAAACAACACTGAGTACAGAGGAGGTGAGGAAAAGAGAAAGAGCAGAGAATGGAAAGAAAGGGAGTGGGAAGGAGTGGAGGAGAGGCCAGGAAGAAGACAGAACGAAGAAGAAGACGGGGGGGTTGGTAATTGTGACCTATTAATAGGGAAGGAAATTGGGTAGTGAGAAAGAGAGACATTGAGGGAAATCGGATTGATATGTGGGGCGGGGGGGCAGTGTGGAGTGTGTTCTGCAGCTGACTGTGTCTCCCCCTGCACAGGATACCATGACAACCACATAGTGATCAGGTGGTTCTGGGCAGCAGTGGAAAGATTCAACAATGAGCAGCGACTCCGACTGTTACAGGTATAGCGCCACTCACACAGTGCCTTCTGCTGGGCTTCAGGTTATACTTTTCAGAACAAAGAATGACAGATAAGGCAAAAGGCAAAAAATAAGCATAAATAAACTGACATCCTTTGAGATTAATATGAGCCCTAAACCGTACACCTGCTGGTTGCTGTGTTTGTTTTACTAAAAGGTTTGCCTCTCTCCGATCCTTCCTGCCCTTTCAGTCTTTCACTCTTTCCCTCTTTCTGCTCTTCCCTCTTCTCCACAGTTTGTGACTGGCACCTCCAGCATCCCGTACGAAGGCTTCGCATCGCTCCGGGGCAGTAACGGTCCCCGCAGGTTCTGCGTGGAGAAGTGGGGCAAGATCACGTCTCTGCCCAGGTACTGCCTAGTCCTTACACCCACGTTTGTTCGGTTCCCTATGTCTATCTGTCACTTTTCTTTAGAAAATCAAATTAATGAAAAATGTGTGGTAAGACAATAAATACGTCTGTTGTGTCACCACAGAGCTCATACCTGCTTTAACCGTCTGGATCTGCCGCCCTACCCTTCATTTTCTATGCTGTATGAGAAGATGCTGACTGCTGTGGAGGAGACCAGCACCTTCGGTTTGGAGTGATCCCTGCTGTTGGCTCACCTCTGACACCTGACCTCTGGACAACAGCCCTGATTCCCCTGGCTACTGGTTACCTCCTTATGCTTGAGAGCTTGGGACATGACACAGTAGAAACACACTGGCAGAGACACACACCTGGTTCCATAAACTGGTATCATAAACATGTACTGTTATGCACTACGCAGGTATACAGACATGAACACATTCACATGCCTAGACATAGCCAAATGTAAACCTCACATACACAGAGAGATTCCCACTCACAAATTCACAGGTGTGTTCATTTCCAAGGGGCTCATTGTCAGTGTGTCTGTGGACTGGGGGAAATCCGGGGCGTCTCCTGTTGAAATTTTTCAGGACACAAGCCATGTGGGACTCCTTCACGGAGACAGAGAACATCTCGCTGGAGTTGATATTGAGGAAAAAGGGAAGGAATTTGCACCCAACCGTCTGCCACCATCAATACTCCCACCCCAAACCCTACCTCCCGTTCTCCAATCGCACTCAATTCCGCCCTCCACCGACCTCAACTTCCGATGGGAGTCAAGGACTAATCTCTCCCGCCAATCACAGGAAGTCAAGCAAAAAAAAACACATTTCTGATAGTATAACAATACAAGAGACTCATGTTTTAATATTTAAAATATGAATTCCAAAGGACGTAACTGCAGAGTTTTCTGAATCAGTGAAGTGATAATAAGCTCTAAGTTCTGGATGTTAGACAAACCCTCTTTTGCAATTGTAGTACAAGAATCGACATGCCCCTGACATTCTGCCTGAGCAGAGACTGTCCTGCAGCACACAGGGATTGTGTAATGTGGTGGGTGTCAGTTTCTCTGTGGTAAAAGTCACTAAGTAACTTAGTGACAAAAGCAAATCAAGGAAAATGAGCCTGTGGTGAAAGAGGGGGTGGTCTGACAGCCCGGAGGGGGCAATTCCTCTAGTCAGTTACAAATACTGACAAACACACGCCATACACACACAGACAAACATGCACACAGTGGTGTTTGACTGCGCTGCAACCCCTTTCTCTTCATTGTGTTTCACAAACGTTAACGGTTCCTCCCACAAACCCCGAGGTAAAATCTGCTGGTCTTCATTTTAAAACACCTGTACATTGACAGGAATGATCTATCACTAAAAGCACTTTTTTTCTGTACAGTAACTGAAGCACAGGGCAGTTCTTATCAAAAGGTCGACAGTTCACTCTACTGCTGTAGTGCGGGTAGGAATCTGTGCTCAACTGGGTAATACACTCTCTCCTGGCAAGGCCTGACTCTGCACCATTACTGCCCACATGTGGTAAACTGTTCATTCTAAGGCCATCTGTTTGTAAAAGATACTCAAGTCAGTTACAGACACCACTGTGAATACACCCTACATGTAGTTAAACAAGTCTGCAGGTTTCGCATGATATGACAATGCTTTTTTAAAAAGGAATTATTTTTGTTTTATTATTATTATTGTTTTTGAAGCAAATTAAGAATGAAGTATCCCTTTATGTTTTTGGCTTATAATCTGTTTCACACACAGCCACACACAAATCAGCAGGCGTACTTGTATACACATGCACTCACACAAACACCCCCACACTTGAAGGTATAATAACCGAACTTTTATTGAATGTGTATATTATGAAACAATCATTTATGAATGCTGTCTGAATGAATGAATTTTGCGAAAAAATAAAAAAAATAAAAATCAGTCTCACTGCCTGGGAGGTGATGAGAGACACTATTTGGAAGGCTTTTCTGGAGGCTGAGAGAGGATGGAGGGAGCTTTCTATCTGTATGCAATTAACAGAATGTATTCTGCCCCTTCTGTGAACACAGCTGCCGGAACTCATCTTGGAAAATGCACCAGTGTGAAAGGGTTTGCATTACTCTGACAATGCTGTCATGAGTGCTTTGTGTTTTATATGCTCTCCTGCATGAGGAAGGAAACCACAAAGAGAAACAAAGCGCATGCTTTTGTATGGGACAGTGTGATGTGTGTGATGCTACCTGGTTAAGGGGCTGAGGGAATGATCTCACATGATCCATAAGTCAAAGTGCTGTGAGTCAAAGGTCAGACCAGTGTTCGACAGTTAAGTCTCATCTAAGTTCCTGTCTACCTTAATAAACTAGCGGTGACCTACACAGAATCAAGTCAATTCCAAGAGGAAACTGAGCATTCCATATTACTGAATTACTGAACACTTGAACTGTCATAGCATATTTTGCTTTTCAGGAACTCTGATCAATTTCCAGTAAATCAAATGCACACAATTCTTTTTCAATTAAACATAATCCTTCTTACTGCTTCTATGATATTCTCCTTTGACAATCTTTCCTCATGGCTCCTAATGGCTACTCGAAATGAGGTTTCAGCACACTGCCAGATGTTCCCAGGAAAGGCAGCAAATTATTTTAGTATCAGGACAGCACGGGGACTGTTTGAAGAGAGGGGTTACAGATAGATTACAGGGGAAAAAAAATGTTCTTCGGAAAAAATCCAGTGAGAGGTTTTGCCATTTCCCTGTGTATTAAGTGACAGGGTCTATAGTCGGCTACAAACATGGCTCTAGGATGGTTCTCTCAGAGAACATCCCTGAACTTACTATCCAGCTTACTGTGTTAATAATACAAGATATGCTGGGGGACCCCTTTACTGTGAAGTGTCTGTGTCTAACTGTCTTTTAGGTCTGATTTGAAAATCATCCTTTCTATTACTCCCTTCTCCGTATGCCTCAGAAAGAGCAAAGGGTTAGAAAACAAACAGCCCTAGAGTTGGCTGGGCTGAAGAAGGTCTCCTTAAAATATTGATTTGTTTTGTGTTTAAAACTGGGTTCTTTTAGGTGTACCTTTCAATTTGGCTAATTCCAAGTTTAGAACAGATACCAGGGTGGACTAAGATTGTGTTTAGAGCTCTACATTTTAGACTTCCACTGGTCTCATATTTTAACAGGGTTGGTTAAGGCTTCAAAGTTTAGTCTGAGTTTCTATTTAACCTTAATGAAACTATAATCCGGGTTGGTGCAAGTTTACCATTAAAATCACAAATGTGTGACAGTTGTGATCAGAACAAAATTCTGTGTATTGTGTCTTAAAGGTGACACTTCAGATTGAAGTTGTTTTAGGACTATAGTCGGATCAAGTCAAGAGTTCATCCGAGTGTCTTGGTTAGGTTGAATCGTTTGTGGGGTAACATTGTGGCTGGATAAGCTTAATTTTGGATTTTGGATTTTGGTCTTTCTCTATCACTAAACCCCTTCACTTCTGATTATATATTTATTATAAATTATATTTCACTTTAATAATAATTTCAACATCAGGTTTGCCACTGTCAGAAGCTCAAGTTTAATCGGAAACACGAACTGATCCACCCACATTTTGATATAAATATATCCTTATTAACAGATTGTGCAATTAAAAATAGTTGTGGCGGTACGATCAGAACAGCGAAAGGGATGTAGAGCCAGAAAGTCTTCTCTATCTCCTTTCAATTGTGTATTCTGGTGCTGATAGTGCTTTCTCAAAGGTAAGCTCGCAGATCCAGAATCCATTTGCCGAGGTTTTTGTGGATGTTCGGGGGTCTGTGTGCCATGATGAAGTCAAATCAGCAGGGTTTGTGTTGTCAACAGTTAAAGTAAGAGGTGGAATCAAAAATAACATCATTATATAAATGAAATCCCAGAATTTATATACACGGAAAAGTGAAGCTACTTAGAACCTACAGAATAAAGGAAGAGGGACACGGCGACCACCGGGGGGCGCTTTAGCGGAGAAAAACGCAAACGGAGTCGCAAGAGAAAAGCCCTCTTCCTTTCGCCCGCCTTGACACGCTGTGATTGGATTATCCGACAAGCCTGACGTAATGCTGGTGCAGACGAGCTCCGTTTTCAAATGCAAACCGATCAACAGAAAGCGCAGGACCCGGAGTGTGTTAGGATTTGACGGACGGGGCGACACTTGAGTTTACCGTGACCTTCAGGTTCTCCGGGGTTCGTGACAAACTGGAGCAAAGCGAATTCTCAACGCGTGAAGCTTGCTTTGGGGTTTTAATTTATTTCGATGAGAAAATGCTTCCCCCTAGTGAACGTTTTGGAAGGAAACCGCTGTCTACTCGTGTTCTTTAAAAAATAGTTATCTTCCGCTGGAGAAGTGACACGGCCTCAAGGGGAGAGAGAGAGAGAGAAGCAGAAGCAGAGAGAGATGCATTGTTCACTCTTGCGAGAATATATTTCAAAGTTATGTCAATTTGCCGCAATAACTGGAAGAAGCCTGCATTTCCTCTTGAAGGTTGAGAGCAACAACTAATTTTTACCTATAGCAGTAACTTAGTTGGGAAAAAACAGGCAGTCCCACTAAGAAGCAAAATACTACAGCAGCACTGGTTACGTTACTGTTTGTGGTGGGACTAAAAAAGTGACAAGTAGTTACTTAGTCGCCCGGCACCGTGCTACTGAGGTCGCACGCAGGACCGAGTGTCACGCAGGTGTGTGGAAGTGATCCTGTACTTGACAAGGGACGACGCCGCAGATCGCTGTGGGCTGGTCGGTCGGTGTGATCGCCCCGTCTAACCTGCCAAGCGATGGCTCGGAGGCGGCTGGACAGCCGGAGCTGCCCACCAGGGCTTTTCACGGAGATTCAGACACAGATCCGCACTGAGCCCCTGGACAGCCTGTACGTGATCACGAACGCCGAGCTGGGAAGGTGAGTCGCCAAGTGTGGTCTGACAACATGTTTTACTGGCTGTATCCGGGTCTGTAGGGGGTCAGTCAGTGTACCTGATAGCTGTCCTGTGCCGGAGCATAGTTGTGTGCGTCTCTCGGTCCTTCAGTCTTCACGCGTTTTTCTATTTTTAAAAAACATTTTTGGGAGCTCAGCTGTCTAGCCCCCAGAAGTCTCTTGGATCTCGTCTCATTTTTAAATTGCTTTCTCTGTACCTATTCGTGGGATTCCAACGCCGGTTCCTTCCCCCAAAGGCAAAATTCCCCCCCACCGGGGGTCAATCCTAACCCCCCCCCCCCCACAGTTAAACTTGGTGTTTATCAGTGCTTCAGTTGTCTGTGTTTTTTATGGTTCTTTCACTTTCTACCCGTCTTGTGTGACACCCCAGATCCTGTCTTCTCACTCGCTTGGTGATTAATGCTGCACGATTATTCGGGTGTCCATTTTAGCCGGTACTACTAGATGTGATGTGTGTGAGGAAGACTTCAGACCGCGCAATACAGTGCGAAACGTAAAAAAAAGATTATGTATTGCTGATGCATCGCCCTTTTTTAATTTTTTTTTAGGAGGAAACATGAGGCATCAGTTCAGCAAGATGGTAGTTATGTTTGGGGAATTATGTCTCTTATATGTATATACAAGTACAGCACTGAATTTGATTTACAGCACATCCTTTAAAATAGTACAAAATACATTCTCATATAATAAAACAAAAGGTTATTTATCAACTTCCTCCTCAACTTGACACTCATAAAATTCCAAGGCTGTGAAGTGTTTCTTGGTTGTTGTTTATGTATACTGGTGTTGTTGACAGTAAAGTAAGGTGCGATTTTATTTCTCAGAAGGAATGCTCTTGGCCCTGGGGAATTAAATAAAAGAGAGGGTTCGAATTCCTTCCCTCAGAGAATACATTTCTATTTAAATACAGCAGGTCTCCCTCAAAGCTGTGCAGTGACTCATAATGGGGAGTGTTAGAAAATAAGTCTAATAGTACTTCAAATATTTAACACCCATTGTCAAGCTGGAAATGAGTTAGGGTGAGTTTTAAGAACTAGGTGTAAATTAGTTATTAGGGTGTAACTTTTATTGTACTGCATGACACTAAATGCCTGAAAAGTCTAGAGTTGGTGTCATGACATTGGATGTGCAGTATAAGCCTGCCAGTATCACTATGCATTGTACACTATATTTGCATTTAAAGCAATCAAATGACAGACCTTCATTGTGCTTACCAGTTTGCATGCTGGAGTTGCTTGTGTATTTTACTTAAAGAAGAGTGGTATTCTATTACTTTGTAAGCACTAGTGTCTTTGATTCTGTAATACAGTGCAATAATTTTGACAGCAGTGAGAGAGATCAGAATTTGTGAGTTTCCACACATCAGGTTTAGTTGTGATGTGTGTGATGGCAAGGTTCTGGGGAAGAGCCCGTAGCAGAAGCAGCATGTTCGCAAGATGCTCTCTTGAGCAGTGCTCTGTAGCAGCTTTTGGTTCTTATTAGTGCAGCCTCTCAACTTGCCTTTGCATCAAGACTGTGATACTATGCCTATACTAAACAAAAAGTTCATGGAATTCGGTTACATTTATTTTTTTTCTTATTTTGATGGAATCAAAAGTATTTAGGGTATCTGTTGAGTTTTTTATTTCCTCCAGGAGCTCTTTGTCTTGAATTATTTAGTTGAGGGGACCGGAGTAGCCTCATGGAGCATTGATATTTGTCTTTTGACCTCAGTTCCCTGAAGATCCTTTGCACTTTGTAGAGTTCTGTGAAAAAACTCTTCATGATAAAATGCAATGTGGCTTTCATGTGATGGTGTGCCAGAAGTGTTAGGTGCTGATTGTTTTCTGAATGAAACCTTAGGTTCTTAATGATGGAGTATTTTGGCAAAGGATAAGTCTTTAAACAAGAAAGGAAGAGCACATTTGGATGTTAGCAGTTATCACATATTCTGAACATAATGATTTATTATTAGCACATTATTATACTCTGAGCTAACCCACCCCAGTCCCTTAGACATCCATAATGAAAAGGAGCAAGTCTTCCAGAATTAGCTGCTCCTGGAAACTTTAATATAGAGGAGTGCGTCTGGAATCAAAATACTGTATTTCTGAAATGTTTTGTGTGCGCTTTCTGAAAATTCAGGTATTTGGCTGGAGCAACCTTATTAAGCCTGCTTTCCTTTTCAGTTGATAATTTCATAGAGCTTCCTTTTTTAAGAGCAACATGATTTTAAACAGCTGTGGATTAAACTCTGGCATGGGAGCTCAGAAAAACTGAAGGAATTCCTTCACCTAAGATGAGCATTTCACATGTGTGCTCCATATTGTTATTTGCAGCAGAAGAGTGATATACAGTAAGCTACAGTGTAGCTGGATGGCTAAAGAAACAGTGGCTGTAAGTAAGTAAGCAAGCTGTATACTTTGCTTTCCTTTAAAAGCAGTTTTTTTGCAAAATCCAAGACTATAAGAATAAATGTATTTAATTAGGAATTACAAAGAGAAGCCTAACCAATGTACAAACCACAGGATGGAGTACAGTGCTAGACAAAGAAATTAAGTCTGAGAGGATGCAGCTGGAAGACAGAAGGTCTTCACGGATGAGTCTGTGGTCTGACTGCTGTCAGCCAAGCCTGGAAATGAGCAAGCTTGTTGATCAATCGCTCTGACGTCTAGCAGCGTGCACAGAAGGTGAGGCAACAGCCTAGCAGCAAAGAAAGTGGAGACGTACTGTACTGTACAGATGCACTATCAGGGATGTGACAGTGAAAGGCACGTGAACGTCTTAAAAAGCCTTATTTACTAGCAAGTCTGTAATCTGATCCACCTTGTCTTTGCCAGACAAAGCTGGCCTTTGATTCTTGTAAACATATATCCTGTCCCTGATTTTTAATATATTTTTAATTGAAGGAAAACATTGATCTGGGTTTTTACGGGATCATAATCTTGGCCTGATTCCCCTGCTGAACTGTGCCTGAGGTCCAGTGGAGTTGAAACAAACCACAGGTGGAGAGGGAAGCCAGCTCTTAGCTCTCTGAGACTTTCACTGGCAGGTGTGGTAGTTAACTCCCTGCATTGGCAACATGACCAGAGCTCTTGCACAGTGGCAGCACAGTCAGTTACATCCCTCTGTAGCCAATTCGGAAAAATGATCTGTTATGACAAGAGCTGAGAGAAAAGCGAGTGTCATAACATAAGGGCATTATGCATGTAGTGCATAAGGTTGCATATTAAGAGCTGATGTCATGTCACAGGTTCAAGGATTTGTTTTATGGTTTTTCTGTTTGGACATGTCATGTATTCTTTCAACTAAGCTTGTTGAGACTGTAGGAGGAAGGAAGTGAGCACATGTTTGAGTAGCTAAGAGAAGGGGATAGCTTGAGAAACAGGAACAGCTGTGCCAGGTTTCCAGGTTCCTGTTTCGCACAAACTGGACTGGCCCGGGGGTGGGGGGTGGGGAGGGAGGAGGGAGACAAGCTCAAGGCGATGAAAAGGTCCTCAACTCTCATCCTGAAGTGGGCCAGAGATTCTTAGTTACATTTCCTTCATAGTCTTATAGAATTCAATTAGATCAGTCTGGCCCTTTTGTCCTGGTCATAATCCATTTGGGCTTTTTCTGAAAAACATGGAGGCCAGAGGGCCTCATAGCCTGGAGACTTCATATAATTCAGTTACCTGTGACTGCAGACCCTCAGCTCGGTTATCGTATCCTTAAAAAACACAAATATAACAAAATATTTTAATTAATCCCTCAGCTAAGAGAGAGAGGCTGATTCATACTCTAGTGCACCATAAGTGCGATTCAGTGACTTACAAAATCCACGCATCTGCTGCTTTGCTTAAAAGTGTTGTCAGTAGTTCTTCCTGTATGAGTGTATCTGAAAAGAAAGTACTATGAATGCCATGAAACAGTAGTAGATTCTTTTTCAAGGATATATTCACAGATTTCTGTTGGCTATAGACAATTGATTAAAAGGCAAAACAAAACCCTGAGTCTTCTCTTGTGTTGGTATTTGGTTCCAAGAATCAGTGGGGCCCAGTTTTGGAGGAACGGGAAGAGGAGCTTTGTCACAGTTCAGTGCTCACGTGTCTGTATTGCACAGCCATTGGAGCATTACTGCTGGGGCTCTTTAACAGCACAGCTAAGAGCTTCTGTCCACAAAGTCACAGCTGAGATAAAAACAGGAACTAATTGTTTTTCATTGCAAACCATTTTTGAAGCTCATATTCACACCAGCTTACCGGGGAAGGGGGTTCCCTGCAGCACTACAGAGTGTGTGTCTAGCTTGTGTCTGCTCATCTGTGTGTGTTGTTGACTTGAGTTGTTTTGCACGCTATTGTGTGTGTTTGTATCTCATTGTGGCTCTCCCCAGAGATCAGCTGTTTAAAAGCCAGTGAAGTGTCCTGCGGTGCAGAAACAAAAGCTACAGTCACATGCGAGTCATGTTTATTACCAGCAGTGTCCTCCTAGTCATCTGCTCCGTGTGGGCCTTTCCACATCCTTTGAAAAAGTCTTTTTTCCCCTTTAGTTTTGCATTGCATTTCGGAGAGAAAAGTGCTTAGGCAAAAAGAAAACATTTCACAGTCCTGCTTGTAGCGAGAATACCTGGGCATATTTTCTGTTCTTTAGAACAACTGCTGTAAAGTCTGCAGTGTGGTTTACCCAAAATTGCTGGCTGTGGCTCATTCAGATGTCTGCGGGTACTCATTTTTATGTTTTGTCTTTTGTCTTTGTCTGGGTGTAGCAGCTGTAGGCGCAGTATATGGACAGCTTAATGTTTCAATATTGGGAAACGACTACTGTTTGGTGACCCATACTGTTGTGAAAACTCAGTGTCAGTACAACTCATTACATCTCGCCATGTTTAAACCAGTTTGTTTAAACCAGTACATGTTCACTGTACTGGTTTACCTCTGCTGACCTTTACCTGACAGTCTCTTTCTCTGCCCCAGGGGGAAGTTTGCGGTGGTGAAAAAGTGTGAGGAGAAGGCAACTGGGAAGGAATATGCCGCCAAGTTCCTGAAGAAGCGCCGCCGCGGACGAGACTGTCGCGCTGAGATCGTACACGAGGTGGCCGTGCTGGAGGCAATGCGTGCCAACCCCCGGGTGGTCAATCTGCACGAGGTCTTCGAGACCGAGCATGACATCGTCCTGCTGCTGGAATAGTGAGTTTTCCTGCTGGTGCTAATCTAACTGGTGAACTGGTTACAGGGCACTGGTTTTGTTCACTTAAGACTCTCAGCTGAATCCGGTGAGTCATCTCATTGGAGTACAGTGTGTAGTTGAACACTCTTCTGTAATGATAGTGTGGTTTTTGGCTCATACTGGGTCAGTAAGTAAACATCAGTGACTAGTGAGTAAACATCACCCTGGTCAGAATATAGTCCTAACTATAATCCTAATCAAATAGCATATAAAGCTCAGTGATCTCCGAGCAGTCCACCCAGGCTGCCAGTTGATCATTTAAAATTGTGTTGTGTGCATACTGTTTGCACCGCACATTCTTGATATATCTGGAGTGTTTTAATCCATCTGTATTGGATCAAACAGAAGGCTCACAAAGTTGCAGGCATACTCTCTCTCACATGTGCAAAAACACACACATTCACTTTGAGCCATATCCATTACAGTACCTAAACTATAGATACGTACAGCCATATCACCCTGCAACTCACACCTGGCAACCCACTGAAGCTAAGCAGGTGTGAGCCTGGTCAGTACCTGGATGGGAGACCTCCTGGGAAAAACTAAGGTTGCTGCTGGAAGAGGT